GTTTTATTGCAATTCATACTGGAGTAAATGTTGCATAATTTTGCTGAGAGATCTTTTACTTTGTGGTAATCTTAGATGAGTAGTTTTATGGACAAAACCCACCAGGTCATTCAGTGTTCCCTTAGTGCTAATGTGTAAGAGATGTTGGTGTAACTGAAGTAATGTTGTTAAGTCCTTAAAGTCATATTCTTTTATTGTCATGACTGTATTTGAAGCTATTTTTATTTTTGTATGATACCTGATTTATATGGAATATGGCTGAAGTAAACTAAAGCCTAAAATACTTAGTCATTTGTTTAATAGTAATTTAACATTATATAATTCACATATAAAACTATGAACTGTAATTTTAAATGGTTTAAAAGCATGCAGAATAGCATATGTAGGCAAGTATATTTCTCCTTTTTTTAAATCAAGAAGCAAAGACAAAAAGAAAAAAAAGAAACAGGGTAGGGTTCAGTGGTTGAATCATCCGTCCCCACCAATGCCAAAACCAAATCTACCCTTTGGCTCACAAATACATAAAGTTCTAAGCCCTCTATTGAATGGTTTTCTTGATAGCTGATTTGATGTGTTGTTGCAGAGAAAAACCCCTTGATAGTGCTAGAGCACAGAACTGAAAAGAACATGATTAAATGAAACCCAAGACAATATAGGAGAGAGACTGCAAACAGTATGATAATAAATACTAGTTAATCTATAGCACCAAATCATCAGTCAGTCACCTGTGACCTCGCCTCTTCACCTCTGTCAGAGCTACAACATGGCAGAGCTGCCTCTGTCACCTGATAAATAACAGTGAGACATTCCACATACATGCAGTCACACATGTGCTTCAAATACAGTAATGAACCAACAAGTCATCATCCAATTTCACCTGTGATCTTGTATCACCATTGCTCTCTATCACCTGACAAATAGGACATACGTGACAATAAGAATAAAATGTGCACCTGCTTCAGTGTTTCTGTCAATTTGTGCAGATCTTGACTCATCAGTAATGTTTGTAGGCTGAGTGCATTTTTAAAACAATTTGTGCAAACTGCACTCCAAGGTGGACTGAATGAGACGTTGACAGATCGTTTTTTTCTTTTTATCGGGTTTGTTTTTCTTTACTCGAAGAGATTAAATTATTGGTGGAGACATGTCTTTTCCGTCCATGCCAAATCTACGCCCTTGAGTGAGTCAGCTTCGCTGATAAAGGCAGGCCTTGCAAATCCAGACCCATCCAAAAATGCCTCTCTGCCCCCTCAATTGAATGCTATACTGATGTTCTTTTGTGTTAGAAATACAATTAATTCCTAAAGTCTGACAATAAATGTCTTAAACATCCACACTGGCAATAAGTCAGTGCAGTTACAACTCAAGTTAATTATTCTGCTATTTCAAGTATTAAAAATTATGCTAGTTTGTCCAATTAAGTTAAGCCTCTGAAAAGGTGAAATTGTGTCATTTCCAAACAGCTCCAAACTGTTTTTGTTAAAAATAAATAAATAAAAGACAGCTCCTACTGTATTTGTACACTTCTTTGGGTGTCACAAGGCTTTTCAAAAAAAGAAGAACATATATGTTTAAAGATTGCCTACCTTCACATTGTACTAAGAATTTGTTCATCATAGGTGTATACAGGAAACTTTCACTTTAGTGTTCACAGTTGTGTTGTGTCACACTTGAATAATTAATTTATTCATAGTTTTAAATAAAATGCTCTGTATAAAAAGTAAAATAGAACAGTAACTTGAGTTAAAATGTTCCTTCTTTCATAATTATATATAAATGTATAATATTTTTTGCAGATTGATTTTGTCCGGGGGTTTTTTTTGTTATTGTTGTTGTTGTTGTTTTCATAATGGTTATTTTATTATTATGATAAAATGCAAATAGAATTATCACATTTTATCATAATAAAACCTTTGGTTTCATCAGGTCACCTTTCCTGACAGACCGATGGGGAATTAAACATTTAGCCCTTATAAGTTAAAGCAGCCTAGCTGATTGTTGTTGCTGACCATATCCATCCCTTTATGACCACAGTGTACTCATGTTCCAATGACACACAATCTCACAAAGTTCAAATTTTCTCAAACTGGTTTCTTAAATGCAACATAAACGGTCACCAGATTGTAGTTCAATAGAGTAGCCGATCTTTGGAATGTGGTGGAATGGGCCATTTATCTCATGGGTGTACAACAGCTGTGTGAGGATATCATGTCAACAATCTCTGAGGAATGTTTCAAGCACTTTGTTGAATTGATGCCATCATAGAATTAAGGCACTTCTGGTGATGAAATGAGGTCCAACCAAGTAGAAGCAAGCTATTCTTAATGAAGTGATCATTTGGTAGCATTAACTTATTTTCTAAACATATTGTGCAGTGTTGCATCAACACAAAGTTAAATTACCCCCTCAACAGGGGGAGGGTGTTCAGTACCGTTCTACTCACTTTCTGAGGAATTGAAACTGAAGAGCTGAACAAAGCCTATTTCACTTTCTGTCCTGACACATCGTGTACTTCTTTCTTACTTTTCACCATGAAACCTTTTGGAGCTCTGATCCTGGTTTTTGTCCACTTATGAGCTTATGATTCATTTGTCTTGTTCTTTAGATAATCAGATAATCACTGGTCCTTTCAGCTCTTCCATTTTTAGACCAAACTGTAAGAGACATGATCACCTTGAAAAGCACATCTGAACCACAATCATTCTGTGAAAAAAAGCATAACTCTTAAAAAAATTAGGTGAATATGTAAGATGTTTTTCCATTGACAGTTTGATTTAAAATACACTATAGTCATGTACAGATGCAAAACTAATTTTAAAAATTGCCTTTTTAAATAAATATATCAAATTATGGAGCTCACAGTATTTTGCAATAGAAATGGCAGATCCTGAAGGCCCACAGCCCGTAGTACGTGCAGCACTGCGCTCTGAAACGAATTCATTTCAATTGCTTGCACCTCGCAATAAGGTTTCACTTTTCTTTTTGTTGAACTTGAAATTGAATCTTAACAAAAAAGCTATTTACCTGCATATACTCTATAGATCTGCAGGTTATTATTTTATCTAATCTGGTTCTTGTTGATTTGTTTCTTTATTAATAAAAGTCCTGGTCCTTTGCCTTTTCTTTTCTTTTTTTTTTCTTTTTCTGGTGCATTCTCTGAGCTGTGGTACCACGAACTTTATGAGAAGCCTTTTCTCTGAATGAAAAGAAAAAGCTTTTCTTCATCTCATTAAGACATCTGCAGTCTAATGGATCATGCTTTGTATTTGGAGAATCTTCATCCATGTATGACAGCTGTCTTTGTTTCTCTGCAGCATGTGGATTAAAATGCTACGTATGTGCACTCTCTGACCCTCACTCCTGCACTGATGTCGTAACTTGTCCTGCTGGTATGGACCGATGTTTCAGCCTTACTACAAGCGGTAAGTTGTTCTGCA